AAGAGCAAATTACTGATACACACAACATGGATGAGTCTTAAAAGCACCATGCTAAATGAAAAATCAGATAGTGCAAAAAAGCATACATTGGGGGCACCTGAGTGGCTCAACTGGTTAAGCATCAGACTCTTGATATTGGCTCAGGTCATGATCTCACACTCTCTGAGTTTGAGCCCTATGTCAGGCTCTCTGCTGACAAGGTGGAGCCTGCTTAGGATTTTCTCTTTCCTTCTCTCTCTCTTTGCTCCTTCCCCACTTGTGCTCTCTCTCTTTCTCTCTCTCTCACTCACTCTCTCTTTCAAAATAAATAAATAAACTTTTTTAAAAAAGATTTTAGGGGCACCTGGGTGGTTCAGGCAGTTAAGCTCAGGTCATGATCTCATGGTCCATGAGTTCAAGCCCCATGTCGGGCTCTGTGCTGACACCTCGGGGCCTGGAGCTGCTTCAGATTCTGTGTCTCCCTCTCTCTGCTCCTCCCCCTCTCATGCCTCTGTCTCATTAAAAAGAAATTAAAAAAATAAAAAATAATAAAAAAAGATTTTGAAAAGAAAAAAAATGGTGGCCGGTTTCCAAGCACAAAAGCTCAGGTGTAGGATTGGGAAGAGCTTTGGGGTTTTTGTATTTAGTTTTGAATATGTCAGAAAGCCTCCAAAAGCTTTGAGTGAAAAGGACGGACCTGACCCGATTTTTATTTTGTTAAGAACTGGGGCTGGAGTGGTCTTCAGTGTTCACTGGAGGAAGCTTGAGTGTTGGCCAGAAGACAGTGAAAACTGAAGGGCTGGACCAGGCTGACCTAACATGGGGGCTCCAAGACGAAGAGGAGAAAGAAGGCCTCATGGCCCATATCCCATCCCCCTTTCTCCCCACTCTCAGCTCCTGGTTTCATGCACGCGCATGGGAGGGGACGAACTCTGGGGGGACACATCCCCTTGGTCCCCGGCACTCCCCTTCCCACGGAGGGAGACACAGTCAGAGCAGGACTGGAGTGGTGCCCTTGAAGCCTGGGCCCAGAGCGAGCTGCCTGATTTCGAGCATTCAGAGGCAGTCCTGGCTCAGACCATGACCACAGGGAACTGGAAACATCAAGATTTGGTGAGCAGTTAATTTCCCCATTGATAGCATCTCCTCCGCAGGACACAGACTGCCACAGCTGTGCAACCATGATGTAGCCTCCGTGTGATGTTTCCAAGGTCCACACAGCATCTCAGCAGGAGGACCAGGGGAGTTCAAGTCCAGGGGAGCAACATGGTCCACGGGGCACACAGAATGCTACCCAGGGTACTTGGCCAGGGCTAAGAACCTCTTTGTAGACGGTCCTCTTGCACTGAGTTTAGAAGAGGCTGGGTTTTGAGGCCACGCAACTTGAAACCCAACCCAGGATGGCCCACGCCCTTGCTCCCTCCCACCTCCTCAAGGCCCAAGGACAGACAAGAGACAGGTAAGAATAGCCAAGGTGATGATGGGAAGGTAGATCGGAGTGGGGAGGGACACAGGGGAGAATAGGGAAGAGTGGACGTCAAAGGAAATGGGACATGGACACACTTTGGGGTATTGCCAGGCTCATCATACCTCCTTTTCTCAGCACTTATAGTTGGTGTCTATTATAGGAGTAATACGACACGGAGTATTTCATTCACCAAAGTCCTGCTAGAGAAAGACGGCACTGCATTTGACTCAGAGACATATGGTGATGGGTTCAAGGGCACTCACAGAAGAGACAGAAACCTTCTGAAGACGCTGAGTTCTGTTGTTAGCTAGAAGGCTAACCGGGATGCTCTGGGGGGCAAGTTCGGGGCCTGGGCTGGGACTGGGTGTGATCATGGGGAGAGGAGCTGGAAAGGAACAGGGCAGGAAGAGAGCAACAATTAAAGTTGCTGGCAGATGTCTGCGAAGAGAAGTGGCTAATGGGGTTTGTGCTATTTGGCGGCTGGTGTGTACAGTGCAGACCTTCAGAGGCCCGTGAGCACATCCTGAAGCCACACTACTGAGGTGGCCTCAGAATTCTGTGAAGGGGACGCCAGTCAGAGTGGCTAAAATGAGCAAATCAGAGAACTCTAGATGCTGGCGAGGATGTGGAGAAACGGGCACCCTCCTACACTGTTGGTGGGAATGTAAACGGGTACAGCCCCTCTGGAAAACAGTGTGGAGGTTCCTCAGGAAACTAACAATAGAACTCCCTTATGACCCAGCAATAGCACTGCTAGGAATTTACCCAAGGGATACAGAAATGCTGAGGCATAGGAGCACATGTACCCCAATGTTCATAGCAGCACTCTCCACAATAGCTAAAACATGGAAAGAGCCTAAGTGTCCATCAACAGA